CCTGCCGTGCCCCCGTCACGCAGCTCATTAGCCACATCTGCATCTTAACGCTGCCAGAGAGGGGCTAATTTCATCACCGTGCGCAAAGCCGAGCTGACAGCTCCCCGGAGCGGGCGAGCCCAGGTACGTGCGGGGGGGCAGTTTAGAAAAATGTTTAAGTCCAAATAAATCCCATTTCTGCAGGATTGATTTTAAATATCTTGATACAAACCAAGGAGCATAGGTACAGCTGGGCTGCAGCGTGGGGAGATGAGGAAACCCAGGGATCCAGCCACATCCTGGAGTATGGCAGAACTCAAGGCCCAAGCAGCAGCACCAGCTGCTAGCCCAGGAGCTAGGAAAGTGAAACCCCAGGCTCCAGCAGCAGCTTCTGCAATCCTGGTACCTAGAGAGATGAAGCCAAAGCCCCAGGAGCAGCCCGGAACTCAGAAGAGAAGCCAAAGGCCCCAGAGGCACCAGTTGCCAGCCTGGAGCCCAAACAAAACGAAGCCCAAAGCCCCAGGGAGCAGTCGCTGTCAGCCAGGGGCCTACTCGCATTAAGAACTTTGTACTATATCTTTAAAAAGATGAACTCTATAGTTCATGATTGGTTGACATTAAGAAGGCCTAAGCCAGAGCAACAAGAGGGAGGTGCAGCTGGTTAAAGCAATATACATTATGTACAAACTCTTGGGTTAAATCCGTCCACTTGGTAGGCAACGTCCTTTCTTATCTACAAGGCGCGCTGGAAGGAGCAGGGGAGGAGAGGGGGCAAGAGTCCATCAGACAACTTCTTGGCACTACAGTGATAAGGTGCCAGCGCTTCTTGATAGAAAACATGGAGAAAAATCTTTAAATAACGGCACAAAACTGAGAAGGTCCTCCCAAAGCCTGCCCCAGTGGAATGCCCGAGTCTAGCTGGAGGGGCTGATCTGTCTGAGAGCAGTCTCTGCAGCAGGGAAAGGGCATTAGCAGCACCGCTTCTTCCTTTTACTGTTCTTAGTTAGCTTGACCACATCATTCTGGTGCTGCTGTTGCTGCTTTGCCAAGTTTTCTTTCTTTGCTCGCAGAACCAGCTCTGTAATGCAATTAAACATCTGCAAAAGAAACAAGCAAGTTCAGGCTACCAGGAATGCAGGCCAGCTGCTGAGGGAGTCTGTCTACAGAAGCAGATAAAATGCCAGAACCAGAATGGGGATAGCAAGTTATGGTGCTGCTGAGTCATGACCTGTTGGTCTTTGCAGGTTCCCTTCTTCTCACACAGCTGTCTGAGGCCATGCTGGGGGTCCACAGACTCCAGCCAAATCAGATTTAGCACTCCCCCTACCTCACCTCCTTCATGCTTGTCTCCGATTAAAGCCAGCAAGTGCAGGGCTGGAATTTTTCCTCTTTCTAAGGCCACCAAGATGGGTTTGGTCCCTTACTCTGCCTCACCAAGACCAGAGAGCTAAGATCTAGAGTTCCCTCCCACCAAGGCAGGCACTTCTAGCAAGATGAGGGAAAAATCTAAACATACCAAGGTTTTAATAATTTCACCATCCAGCTTCAGTGTATGCAGCATTAAGACCCTCTCCTCCCCACCCCCACTGCAGCTCTGCCTCTGACAGTTTCAGCTCTTCACCTACAGCTTGTAGAGTAAAAAGGGATTTTCCCTCAACTCTGCCAGCAAGAATGATTCTACCAAACTAGCTATTTTTGCCTCCAAAAGAAGAAAGGAGGGTTTGCATCTTCTTGGAATAGATGCAATATTTGGTATCTCAGAACATTCTCTCTGAAAGGTAGGTTTATACCCACTCCCATCTAGTGCATTACCTCTTCCACATTAACGTTTTCTTTGGCGCTCGTCTCGAACAACTGGATCTCCATCTGCCCAGCAAATTTATAGGCATCTTCCGTCTCCACCACCTTCCGCTCTGGGTCATCATTCTTATTTCCCACTAAAAAGGAAACAGGTTAGCGCTGCACTCCCCAGGTTCCCAGAGCAAGAGACTGTCTCCACCAAGAAGCTTACCTAATATCCGGCAGACATCATCGCAGTTTTGGTTAATTTCATGTAACCACCGCTTGACATTCACAAAGGACTCTGCACTGGTGACATCATAAACAACAATGACCCCATGTGTTCCTCTGTAATACCTGAGTGGGGGGGGGAAGAAAGATAGATGCTAGTTCAAACCTGAGGCTATGGCCTCCAGGCTGGCACTGTCCCATATAAGGATGGAGAAGCCCATTAGTAGTAAGACCCTGAACAAACAAGTGCCTGTTTCTTTACCCAACTGGGACGTCAATGTTTGTGCAAGTCAGTCCATGCTGCACCCAAACCCACAGTCCCCTGTTCACTTAGCAGGGCTGAGCGCCAATATCGTAGAAGTTGTCAAATCAGTTTAAAACAGTTACATTTTCTTGTTCAGCTGCCCAGGATCCTGGGCAAGGAGGTGCTGTCTCCTAGCTGGTGAGCAAAAGAGATGCTGCAGTATGGGCTGTTCCTATTATGTCATGTGAATCTCTCTCCCCGTGCAGTTAGAGCTCCCATGGGCTGAGGCTATCAAGCACAGAAAGAAAGAGGCTGTACAGATTCCTGCCCCTCTATTTCATTTGGTGCCCATTCCCCTTTGACAACACAGCATGCTATTCCAGCTCCAAGCAGGCAGCTAACCAAACTAACTGATAAGGTGGTTTTGTTAAAAAGCATGCATTAGGCACTAGAGTCTGAGGTAATCATGACTGGGATCTGATCACTGCTTTGCTATTCAGCCCCAAATCAATTCTCTCTCTTCAAAGCTTGTAGCATTCCTGTCTTGTTGAGTGACTGTGTACTGATGGCACCTTCCTACTCAACAGATCTACTCCGTATGGGTGTTCAAGTCACTTTCCACTACCTTTAGTGATTAATGCTTAGTTCCAAATGCATTTTGTTCTCATTAGTCTTGTATGACCAAACACAGCTAAGAAACACCAATTATTGCACAGAATGGCTCACTACGTTCTGAAATTGTTTTGAATGGATTTGTCCAGGTGAAACGGGCAGTACATGCTTCACTGAAAAATCCATATGGCCTTCAAAACATCTATTGCATAATGATTAAGTGAAAAGGTCAAAAAAAAATATCAGGCTTCACACCCACGCCCTAGCCGAGTCTTCAGCACTACCAGTTAAAAGAATTCTTATTTATGAACTAAGTAGATCTGCCCAGAGACAATCAATATTAAGCCTCCAAATACTTTGGAGTTTATAGCATTTTCCAACTAGAACTGCCATACAAATTATTTTAATAGTTACATTTACCTCTTTCTTCTGCCTCCTTTTTTTGTTCTTGAACAGGATTCACATTTAAGCCAAAAGAAGAAATTTAGGGTAGCACAGTGGCAGAGTTCTCCTAAAATAAGTTTCAAGATTTCCAGAAGCAAATCTTTTGCCATTATCATTTCCACAAGGACTCTTCTCCCTCTGCATTTTAAAGATGACAGCTGTGATGACAGCTTAGAATCCTGTTACCTCTCTGCTGAATCCATCCTGCCCCAATCTGAAGGCGCCTGAATCCACATCACCAAATCCAACAGGGCTGCATTTCAAAGTAGTTCCAAGTTCATTACACCTCTACCACCAACTTACTGGCATACTGAGCAAGTCACTAACATCTTTCCCTCAGTACCATCATCTGTAAGACACTGGCACTTGATGTACACTGACGTAAAAAGGTATTACTCTCACTGGTAGGCTTTTCAGCTAGGCTTTTCACTCCCGATTGTTCTGTCCTGGCTTCTGTTTTACATGGAAGATAGCTAGTGGCTCTTCAACTGGGCTGGCTTAAGATCAGCGTATGTACAGAAGGTCACCATCCCAGACTAGCTGCTTATCTGTATGCCATTATTTCCACTTTTTTTTTTTCCTGGAGAAAGCAAAAGTCCAGGCACTTCCTGACTTTCTTGCATTGCTTCCCCAGTAACTTATGCTATATACTCAACTTGGTAGGAAACACTTTCCCAGGCA